CTCTCGGCCGGGGCCCCCCGACCGCCCGGACCGGCTCCCCAGAGCGCCCGGCCGTCAGCCGCCCCTCGCTTTGCCGCCCTCCCGCGTTGCGTTTCTCGTTTCTCTCTCCAGGCTCTCCTTTTCCCATTTGTTATTTCTTTACCTTTGTCTTCCTTACTTAAAATTTCCCTCCTAATGATCTTCCTTCTTCCCGTCCCTCTATTTGTTTTATTTAATGCCCTTGCTCTTTTTGCTTTCTGCCCGGCTCTTGTCTTTCTACTTTATTTTTCATTACTCTTTTCTTTCCATCTGTTTTCTGCCTCTTATTTCTGTATGCCCTTCTCTGTCATTAATGGTTGGTCCCTTAAAAATAAATAAAAACAAGTCTTCCGCCAACTTTTAAAAATGACTTAACTTTGTTTTGTATCATCAATTTTTTCACATTCTTCTTTTTCGTTCTTGCCTTCTTTTTATCTTTCCCCTTTACCCTGCTCCCTTTCGGTTTTCCGTGTTCTCTCCTTCCCTCAATTTCTTTTCCTCCCAGCTGCCCTCCCTGCTATTTTCTGCTCCCTTCTCCTCTCTGGACTTTCTTGCCCTCTTCGGTTCTGCCGGCTTTCCTCCCACTTCTGCAAACTCCTCACCACCTCTGCGCACTTTTCTCTGGTCCCCCTGTGCTCTCCTTACCGGCCTCCACTTGCCCTCTTGTGGGCTTGTCTTTAGGTGTGAAAGGGTCTCTGCAGCTGGATGCCCAGGCAGGAGGGTGCACTGGGTTGGAGGTGGGGTGCTGGCCCTTACTCTGTCCCAGAATTGAAGCTGCAAGCCTGGAGTCTACCGCACAAGAACTCCCTCCACCCACTCTGCACCCTGCTCTGCCAACCCTTTTTTGTTGGAGCCCTGCAGCAGCAGCAGCAGCAGCAGCAGCAGCAGCAGAAGCAGCACGACAGGGTCCTGGCGGGCAGGTCCATGTAGATGCAGTCGGAGGCTCACCTTCCATGTCCCTGGTGACAGTGCTGAAGTGCATCCCGGCCCGGGATCCCAGCAGCCCGTGAAGCTTCACCGGGTCGGAAGACCCGGGACCCAGGCGAGTGAAGTTCTCAGAGGCCTTTGCTGCAACCAGAGAGGCGATGCTGAATGCGCTGGCTCGGGAAGACAGCGGGATCCGCGCTTCCATAGGCGCCCAGCGGCCTGGTCGGCGCCGCCTCTGACTGCGTGCACCCAGCAGCACCGAAGCCGGCCCAACCCACTGGACCCGGGGCGGGGGCCTATGTTGCCACTCACAGCCTCCAGCTCCAGGCCTAGGGGATTTTGGTGTCATTAGCTCTCCACTCCCGGCTGGTGGCGGTTGAGGGACCCAGATGGGTGGAGCGCCCTGGGATTGAAAGGTTGTGCTGCTTTTCAAGCTCCTTGTCCCTCATCTCTGCTCCCAGAGACCTCCATGACCAGTGCCCCTTGAACATCCTGCTGCTGCCGCCCCGCCCCGCAGGCCGCTGCTGAGGCCAGGGTTCCCTCTGTCCAGCGAAGCCACTGTAGGCTTCTCTAGCCCCAAAGGGGAGGCAGCCACACTAGAGATCCCAGCCCCATCCCACAGTAGTTTGGCCACCGATGAAGAGCATCGGGGCTGCCTGGGCCCAGTCCTGCCCCTACCCTCAGCCCCTCCCGCCGCCTCCTCCCCTGCTGCCCCAGCACCTGGGTGAGGAGAGGACAGTTCGGTTCCTGCACCAGCCACAAGCAGACTACCCCAGAGACTGGGCCGTTGTCCGTTTCCTCGGTGCAGTTGAAGAGGACCCAGCCCAGCAAACACCCGCAAACCCTTCTGTCGGCTCACTGTCTTAGTCAGGGACCCCGAACAGAGGGACACCGCCCAGGCCGTGCAGCCTGGGAGCCCAAGCGTCACGCGCACACGCGCGCGCGCACCGCCTGCCTCTGGCCAGGACGCTTATACATCCGGAGGGTGGGCAGTGCCCGCTCCTCCGTCCCAGAGCTCGGCTGGGGGCAGGGAGGGCTGGGGGCGGGGCCTGGAATGGCCGAGGGAGAGGAGGACAAGTCGGAGGAGTTCAAACCGCCAGGTCGGATTATGTGTTGCCCCTCGACACCCACCCAACAGCCAGCCTGCCTGCCTGGGGAAGGCTCTGGTGGTGCCTCTGTGCCCAACCAGGCCAAGCAGAGTGAGACAAGGCTGCCGCAGAACTCAGGGCTCCTAGGCCTAGGCATCCCAGATGCTCAGGCCTGACTTGGCCTATGCCTTCCCCCACATGCTGCCTCTGAAGCTCCTCTGACCATTTCCAGGGGTCCATGGCCTTCCTGTCCAGCATCTCCCTAGCAAAGCAATGATCCTTCCTGCCTCCTAGAAGCCTTTCTGACTTCACATTGAGCCTCTGGAGACCAGGGCCTGCACTTCCTAGGCCTCTGCTCCAGCAACCATGTTGTAGTCTTTTTCCAGCACTTAATGGGGATGGCAGCTTCTCCTAGGGTTTTTAAAATCCCAGAACCTCAACCCCAGGTTTGAGGGGGTACCAGCTGGGAGGTGGGGAAGAACCAAGGACTGCATATTAACGTGGAGAGGGATGGGGGAATAGGTGCTAATAAAAAGGTGATGATTCTGAGTCCAAGGTCCAGGAAAGTACCCCAAAGTGCTACAGGTGAGCATGTTGTGTGACTGGAGTGTGGTGTGTGTGACCTCAGGTACAGCGAGTTCCTCCCCGCCCCCAGGGCTGTGTCTGTAGCTTTGTGGACTGCAGAGAGTAAAGGAAGCTGTTGTCAGAGCATGTCCCCTGGCTCTGAGTGGCTATTCAGAGCTATGACAGTAATGCGGACTGTGAGGTCCAGGGGCAGGTCAAGAAAAAGTGTGATATGGAGACCATCAGGCTTCCAGATCCTGTCCTTCTTCTCTGAGCAGAGCCAGCCCACTGCCTCCCATGTCCTAGGAGAAGCTATCCCTTGCAGGAGGAGAGCCCACTAAGAAAGGCATCCATGAGGGCAGATCATACCAGTGCTGGGGCTCTGTACCCAGAAAAGCCCTGGGACCTATAGCCTGTGGTTGGGTCCTCATGTGGAGGGCATGACAGAGGTGGGACTTTGCCTATCACTTCTCATATCTGGGGTACATGCTGCTCCAGCATGTGGGCAATACTTGTGATTGTGCCCTAAGCACCTGGGGAGCCTTCCATATGAGTCTGGGCACACATCTGAGGGCAGCAGACAGATGTTGACCCCACAGATGCTGTTGATGTCCAGAGAGAAAAGTGAAAGTGGAAATCTCCGCTTCCTAGAGAAGTTGGTCAGCTTCCTGGGCCACTGTCCTGAGGTCACTAGCCTTCTGTGTCCAAAGTGGTGGAAGGGAGACCAGCGAGTTCCCAGTCCCTCATTAACTCTTCGTACCCAAGCTAGGATCTCCAGACCAAGTCTACTTTGCTAGGGCAATGAAGGTTTTGGAGAGTGACAAGAGAGGTAAGACTCCCAGCTAGCACCTATGTGGCTGTCCACTGCTACTTTGGCAATTGCAGAAACCCACCCTGGGGTGCTCAATGCCCTGGACCTCCTGGAGTTCTTAATTAAGGAACCCAAAAGGACCCACAGTGCTGGAAACCCTAAGCTGCCAAGTTGTTGCCACCTAACCAGGCTAGGGTCCCAGATCCTCCCTCCACACTCCCAAGAGCTCTTCGCCACCCTCTTGCTTCTCACCCTGCTGGCCAGTAGCATCCCATCTGAGGTGGTCCTTGTGGCTATCCCCCACCCCATCAGGGCCTTCCTGCAGCCTAGAGGGAGCACACCACACACTCCCATCCACCCTACAGGAAGTTCCCCGAGGGAAGGCATCCTCTTGTCCTCAGCGCCTCCAGTGAGGGGGCATGCCCCCCCCCAGGAGGCCCAGCTGGGTGCTGGCATGGCAAAGAATGCTGGGTGCAAGAGGGTTCCTGAACTGACCAGGTAAGTTCCTTAAGGCTTGTTGCACTGTTGGGACCTGGGCTTAGTGGTCAGCCCTTTTGCCTGTAACTCAAGGTGTAGTTAAGACCCTTTAACACCCTCATTTCAACTGCTCGGGTTGTCTCTGAGATGGGGTTATAATGAGGTCATTTTTTAAAAAAAGATTTATTTATTTATTCAGAACTTGGGTATAGGGCAGAGGTGCAGGGGTGGTGAGAGAATTTACCAGAATCACCTCCAAGGCCAAGAATCGAACCCACACCTAAGCAGCTGCAGCCAGCTTGCAGTGCTGCATCCTAACCCATTGCACCACCAGAGAGGGCCCATAATGAGGCCATTTTAAGGGCCCCAAACCTAGCTTAGCTTTCACTGGCAGCCAGTATGTTAGGGGTAGAGACTAGAAGTCTGGCTGAGGGGGGGTGGGTGCTCAGGGACACCAATTCAGCCTTTGCTTCTTTCTCAAGGGCCTGCTGAGGCCCCATGAGGGCCCTGCACACCAGCACTGCCCAGGAGCCTTTCAGCTGAGGCTTACTCACCACCCCTACACTCCACTGTACCCCACTATCTTCAACTTGAGGGCCCCCTAAAGTAAGCCATATTTTAGGATGTTTTCTCCCAGAGCACAGAGTGTTGGCTGTTCCCTGCCTACCCTGCTTTGCCTCCTCAGAGCATACTTCTCTCCCATAGGGGAATAGTCAAGACAGGTGCCCTCATGAGCTATTTGTCGGGTCTCAGCTCTCTAGTCCCTGTCCTTTGTAAGGCTCATCTGAGCCTGAGTGCTACACCATGCTCAAATCCTGTCTCTGTTCCAGTGGTCCAGGGCCTGCAGTGGGGGCAGGGGCAGCCCACCACTTCTTTCACTAACTACTTCTTCAGACAAAACACACACCTGAGCCCCAGCTTCACTGGGCATTTGGAGCAAATCCGCAAACTTGGATGATGCGAGCTTCTTCTCCAGGGTTCAGACAGGACCCAGACTTTTCTTGACCCCCTGAATTCATTTCAGGAATGATTAAGACTGGACCTGGCTCTGGCTCCTGGACATGGCCTTAGGAGTCTTCACAAGAAGTCCTCAAACCAGGAATAGCCTGTGCCCTACCTTTCTGCTGCTGTTAATGCTCTACCCATGCTCCATCCCTGTGGCAGAGCCTAAGGTGACTGGCTCCAAGGGAGGCAGAGGGCAACCTTCAGTGGAAGCTGGCAAAGTGAGTTCTTTCTTCCCTTCCCTGCTTCTCCACCTCTCTGCTCCTGGCCTAGCTTGGGCATCTCTTGCAGCAACTCAGGCCTCGCAACCAAGCCCTGTTGTTCCTCCAGTCAAAAAATGGACTTCACCTGCAACATCAACAGATGCTGCTTTCTGGGTGGCCCAAGTGGCGCGAAAGACAGCTCCTCCAGTCCTGGAAGCAGGGGGGCCACCACCTTGCAGGCTTAGTCCTTGGGGCAGAGACATCCCCTCAGTCCCTCTGAGGAGCAGGGAGAACCTTTGATTCTGCAGGGTGCAGAGGAGAGAGCACTGTGACTTTGTCAAAGCCAAGGTCACATATGCCACCTGCCCTGATGCCCCAGCACCCTGTGAGCACACTGGGGAGGGTCTGCCAATCAAGACTGGGAGAATACTTGCCCAGAATTGGAGGCCTGTGGGGGTTTACTTGGGGCAGAACCTGGAACAGGAGCAGTTTCCTGTCTGGCTTGGGGTGCTTCCTTCTACTGATCTTGGTCTTTTGTGACTCCAGGGGTGCTATCCTGACACAGTAGGAATGGTGACCCTTCTCCCCATCACAAGTACCTGAAAGGGCAGAAACTCTGTTGACCCCTACTGTTTCCAGGTCTTCCCCCCCACATTTCCTTCTAGAGCAGAAGTTCCAACCACAGTTCCCCTCAGTCCTTCACCTTGGTATTGGGCCTTTACTCAGTCCTCTAGGAGCTGTGTCTGTGTCTGGCCCTGAGCTCTGTGCGTGGTGTGTGGCATAAGGGAGCCCCAGGCCCATGAAGAGGCTGAGGGCTCTGGGGAGGATATGCCCAGGTAAGCCCACCCTAGGAGGCCTGATGGAAACTTTGGCAAAGGCCCAAGTATTAGAAACAGCTCTGAATTCTGTGCGTGCAGTCTGGGATGTGGAGAGGACATCAGGTAGGGTGAGCTAAGGGGGCAGGAACTTGTGATCTGAGAAGTAGTGGGGGAGGGCAGTCTGGCCCCTGGCCCTTCCTGTGGTATTGCCTGGGATTCTGCCTATGCTCCATAATCATTTG